ATTGCCATTTACTAAAATAGACACTTGTACAATTATGCCGGAGGTATTTATTAACATTTTTATGTTTTTCTTTTTAATTTATAAAAGTTGTAATTTACTGAACCATGCTTGAGACAGTCACACCATTGGACAATTTTGAGATTTGGCTCAAAAATTTTAAAAATCTAATAACACTGCAGCTTTTATTACAACAGGTTCATGTAGGACAAAGAAATGTTTAATGATTTATTGCATTTTAAATAACAACGGACTTTGGCCAGTAAGCATCCATTTAGCAACCACATAGCAACATGCTCAGAACACTCTTGTACTTGCCTACTCTTTCTCCTTCTGTCTTATTCTTTCTCTTTCTCTTTTCCTCTCCCTTCCCTCATTCTCTCCTGGTCAGGGGTCTGAGGTTAAAAGCCACTCTTGTCACTCAGGGTTTTCCTGCTGACATCAGCCACTCACCTAAGAGAAAGAGTAAGGAGAGCATTTCTCCCTCCTTTTTAAAAGAAGGCAGTAGTTGACAGAGGCGTAAAAAAGCACTCAAGCTCAGAGCAATGTCCCTGTGTCAGCGTGGCAGGCAACAATAACAGGGTTACAGGAGTGCCGCCCCTAATGGGGCGCAAACTGCCAATGGGGCACAAATGCAAGCGTACTGCTCAACTACCGGTGCAGCTTGCACATTCAGTCTTCATACATACTGTAACAATTACTTTAAATATACGGGTGAGAAAATAGGATTGGATTAATTTCTTTTCAAGGTGGCATGTTACCTAAGAACTGGTAGCAGTGTTATTTTAGTAACGAGATACTATTATAGTTTTTATTTTGATATTCTGTTTTCATTTCCAGTTACAGTTACTTTACAGTTACTTTAAATTACAGTTTTAGTAGTTTTATATATTTGTATTTTTTAATTACTCTTTTAGTTATTTTAGTAAGTCAAGTTAAACTAAATGTTGCCTTGACAACTAGCTGAAAAAAATTGTTTTATTTTATTTCAGTTAATGTTTGTTATTTTGTGAAATAGTAACAAATTTTGTTATATAACCATTTTTTATGGTTTTAGTATTAGTTAACTATAATAACCTTGACTGGTAGATGTTTAGTGTTAGAATCTAGAATTGTATTTAAATTATATTATGTTAAAGTTTAGTAAAATTTTAAGGAAAAATATTATTGTTATTAATTCCTAAAATTTAGCACAAAATATTTTTATTATACAAATATTAAAATAATAAATCCCTGTAACACATTTTATTAATTTTGATTTCTTTTATTTAAAGGTGACATATTATGCCCCTTTTTACAATATGTAATATAAGTCTCTGGTGTCCTCAGAATGTGTCTGTGAAGTTTCAGCTCAAAATACTCCACAGATCATTTACCGTATTGGCCCGAATATAAGACGACCCTGATTATAAGACGACCCCCCTTTTTCCAGATGTACCTTTTGGAAAAAGGCTTTTTAAAAACCAAATCTTGTTTTTTCTCAGTAAAACACATTTTGTCTTCAATTATTTTCATATTGCATATTTTTCCTATTTTAATTTTTGTTTTGAAAGTATGGTAAAAACTGGTAAAATGTACCAAGAAACTTACAGATGAAGGGGCGGTAATATTATAATGAGATCCCTTTGCCACGTCACCAAGGGAGCAAAATCAGACGCACTTGTTTTCTCAGATGCGTGCAGAAAAAGGCTTGCCTAAACAAAGTGATTGGGTTAATCTTTTTCACATTTCCTTGGTTGGTAGATGCACCAGGGACCTGATTATAGCACTAAAAACCTGGAAAAGTCAGATTTTCATGATATGTCACCTTTAAATAGTTATGTATGTTGCAATGAAACAACTATCAATAAATTAAGAATTATTGTGTTGTATCATATCTGCTCAGCATCATTTTATCAGTTCAGCCGTGCACTTAAAAAAATACAATTTGCAGTTAGACAAAAAAGTACTTTTAGAAGAATCAAAATGTAATGTTATTAAGTTCTCATAATTTTATTAGAATAAAGGAATACAATTTCACAAAAAGTTGACTTATTATGAAAATAAAGTCACAACATTTGCCCCTAAAGTCTGTCTCTGACTCCCTTGCTCAAAATACAACAAAATGCAAATATACCCAACAGTATTAATACTTCTTTCTTGTGTTCTCTCTCTTTCTCTAGCCTCAGCTTGTGAGTTTGCAGAAATCGTTGAGTTACTCCTGAAGGCCGGAGCTGACCCGTCAATCAAAGATAAAGAAGGTTCCCTTCCAGAGGAGGTGACAGAGTCTAGCGCCATCTCTTCTCTCCTGCGCCAGTACACTGCTCCTAAAGGCTAAATCTCACTCTGTGAAATCTTACTCCACAAAATGAAACCCAATCCACATGATCACCATCCAGTTAAAAGTTCATACAAACTGTGCTGCTCGTCCAAATGGTACATGCCTGATGTCAAACTGACACTAGTTCTAGAACTACTATCATTGATTCCATTTGGCTGTGCAGCACAGATGTTATACTTTCAAACAGCTAAGTTCAGACAACCTGTCCTCCCCCGTCCTAGAATGGTACATTCCAATGAATGTGTTACTGTTGTTACTATTAAAGACATGGAATCTTACAATGGAGTCTCCTTTTTTACTTGTTTGTTACTTGTTTTCTAGAGGTTTTCTGCCATTATACGCTGTTCTTTAATTATAGCATGACCATATTCCAGCAAACATTTCTTTAGGAAGTCAATACAGAATGGTTTTACTATTGCATGAAATTCAGTGTTTTTCAATAAAATGTGAACAGTAGTGCTTCGGGATCATGGTAGATGTCAATCATTGTGCCGATTGTGATATAAATGATTTGAAACTGGGAGAAACATTGAGGAATGGAAGTTTGATAAGCACACAAATTTTGTTCCTGATTTGATGGATATTAAAACCTCTTTTTGCTTCTCCGTTTAGGATCCAGACATTAAATACACAATAGTATTAAAGAAATAGTTGCATGAATAAAAATTTGCCAAGACATAGATGAGTTTGTTTGTTCATCGGAACAGATTTTAAGAAATTTTGTATTGCATCACTTGCTCACCAATGGATCCTCTAGTCTACAGTAAATGGGTGCCATCAGAATGAGAGTCCAAACAGCTGGTAAAAACATCACAAAAATCCACAAGTAATCCACATGACTCCAGTCCATCAATTAACATCTTGTGAAGTGAAAAGCTGCATGTTTGTGAGAAATCCATCAAGGTGTTTTAACTTTAAACTGACGCTTCTGGACAAAATCCAAAAAGAGTCCATAATCCATAATAAGGCTTCCTCCAGTGAAATGTCCATCCCCTTTTGTCATCTCACATCAAAATCCACCGACATATTGTTTAGAACACATGGTTTAGAACTGTTTTGGTCTGTTTTCACTTGTAAACATTGCTTGATCTGAGCATATTTCTCTCCTGATTCAGACAAAAAAAATTCACTGGAGAAAGCAATGTTACAGATAGAAGACTTGTATTTTAGCAGAAAGCAAGAGTATGAAGATAAAAATGGCTTGATGAATTTGTTACAAACTCAAAACCTTTTGCTTCATAAGATGTTAATTGACAGACTGAAGTCGTGAGGATTACTGTTGGGACTCTCATTCTGACGGCACCTATTCACTGCAGAGGATCCATTTGGTAAATGGTCTAAATTTTTCCATATCTGTTACAATGAAGAAACAAACTCATCTACATCTTGGATAGCCTGAGGTTGAGTATATTTTCAGCAAATTTTTATTTTTGGGTAAACTATTCCTTTCATAGTAAATGTAGCACAATTCTTAATTACATTGGTTTTACTTAGAGGTCTCTGGAGGGTAAATAGCACGAAGTACATCTGATCAATGTCTTCATGCTGTTATTTCATTTTTGGCTTTTTTAATTTTTATGCTTTAAAACCACAAATACACTGGGTGACTTTAAGTGTTTCTGAACACTTTCCAAAGAGCCAATACATAGGAATCCTCAAACTTTGTTTTACCCAAAGTTCTACAGCTGATACACCTTTGTTCAAAAACAGTGGGATCACTATATCTTAGAGTATGACGTATTGAATAAAAACTAAGCTCAAGTGGAGGAATGGGAAACATTAGCCGGGTCTGGGTCTGTAGAGCTGCATCCCTCCTCGAGAGCAAGATCCTCTGTCTGTCTCTTTAGATATTCCATAGACAGGCTGGAATTATGGTATCGGTTTGTTTATAAAGGCTGTTTGTCCCTTATTCCGGTAATTTCCATAAATCCACTGGAGTTGGGGGAGGGTCAATGCCGCTGATGGCATCCTCCGTGGGCTTGTCTGCACGACAGTGACACTAAGCCCATTACGTTTCCATTATGTGCCTCAATTTCCCTCAGAGCTCTTCACTTTTGACACGGACTCCACTAAAATCATGTCCCATATTGCTCAGCTTTCTTTACTTAACGTTTATGCATTTTTACAAGTCGCCTCTCTGGATGCTTCCCTAACACCATTAGTGGCAGATGGTGGAGGTTTGTTACTCTCACTCTTTCTCTCTCTCACTGTCTGTCCCTTTCATTTTCTCTCTCTCTATTCAGCCAGTTGTCCAGCTTATAAATGGAATGGCATGTACTGGGCTACTCTTAATGCAATGCTTTACTTCACCCTCACTTAGAATTTGCCAGCCAGCAAAAAACACTGAAAAATATCCCACTAATATCTCAAAAAAAGAGGCTGTAGTGATGACGTATTTTTGTAGACCAATCCGAAAGTTAACATCACCTTGGTTACCTCGACAAAAACCCAATAGGATTGTGGATTCATTCGTTTTTGAATTATTGCAGAAAATAAGATCTGTGACCAACAAATGTTTATGATTCTTACACATGTTGTTAAAATGAACACAACTTTTATGAATTTTGAGGCCTTAATACAGAAATAAAAAGCTAAATGTAGGCTATGAACAAACAACACCATGGTTGCATGACTTCAGCGTGGCCATCACTTCCAAAAAACATTTGAAAGTTTGAGTTAGAACAGTTTGCAGGAGCGCAATCATAAAAACAACAAGACTTTGAAAGCAGCCTAGCGAGTAGATGAATTTTCCTGTTCGGTGTGATTACATTCAATGTCCCAGACAACCTCTGTAGTCCCATTTAGCCACTTGTTAAAGGGGTCATATGATGCGATTTCAATTTTTCCTTTCTCTTTGGAGTGTTACAAGCTCTTTGTGCATAAAGAAGATCTGTAAAGTTGCAAAGACTAAAGTCTCAAATCCAAAGAGATATTCTGTATAAAAGTTAAGAGTCAACCATGCCTACCTAAAACGGCTCGTTCTAACACACCCCCACATGTCTACGTCACGATGTGGGAAGATTTGCATAACGCCGCCCAAATGTTCACGCAAAGAAAGAAGGCGTAACTTTTATTCTCGCTGTAGTATTGTTTTTGCCGCCGCCGCCATGTCGTGAAGGCGCTGTGTGTTTCGTTGTGAAAGCGAAACTACTTTGTTTGGTCTTCCAAAAGAGGACGATATCCGCTTCGTCATGCCTGGAGCTGATCCGTGCTGGTCGCTGAGGAAATACATCAACTTCGCGCTGTGGATCGCCGGATCAGCTTTCACCGTGGACGAAGCGGAGTCCAGCCCGGGGTCGTCACATGTGGTTGCTGCAAGCCCGCCCACCTCCGCTCACTCAAGCCCGCCCGCCGCTTTATTACACCAAATACACAAAATAATGTTCTTTTTAGCAACATCATATGACCCCTTTAACAATGGTTTTACTTTTGTATTAACCATAAACCCATTCAAAAACCCACTGACTTCAAGGTGATGGACCCGGAAGTGCTAAAATGCAAGCTCACATGTTTTTGCTTACAAAAACACGTCATCCCTTCAGCATTCAATAAGTAATTGCGTCCCAAATGGCGCACTATACACTATGCACTTATACACTATATGCATGTAGGCTACTCAGCCATGTAGTGTATGAAATAAGTGAATTGAGACGCCTCTAGTAATTGTTCTGACAATGTTTCTATGGATGACAGTGAATATTATAACATTCCAGACCACTGGATGGTACATTGACCAATCAGAATCAAGTATTCCAGAGAGCTGAGTAATAAACATGAGTTCCAGTCAATCAAAGGCCTAGGTCGTTCTGATTGAGTAGGTCATTAACTTGAGCTTCTTTATTACATAAAATGCAAATGAGAATACTGCCCACTACACCTCTAAAGTTACAGTAATACTAACATGTGACCGTTTGTCCTTGCAAAATGACCCTTTCTTTCTTTGTATGGCTGTTGAATTAAAATGCCAAACAGGATGTCAGTGAACGCCATCATACACAAGAGAAAAATACCCCGTCTATGCAGCCCAGATTAAATTTAGGCTGAATAACTATTTGCATGTTAATTTATTCCTTCTCACCCGGGAGGCTGGTGAATCGCTGGCTTCAGGAAGTTCGTAATAAAAGCTCGCAGATCGATGATAATGGCATTTGCGCTTGTGTTTGTCATCTTTGCAAAAGCAACAGTGCAGGAATTTGCTCAGATTTATATGTATACTAGTGCTGTAAGTGGCGTGTAAATTATCCCAGCTGTCTTTGTCGCTGTTTATCTTTGTAAGACTGAACTATTAAAGGCCGTACATTAATGGCCGCGGCAGCCCCAATCAATGGCTGAGTGAAATCAGTTTGTTTGTGGCGTTTCTCTGCAAAGAGCGCCTGTTTTGCTATCTTTTTCTTCCAACCCCCCGTCTCCTCTGTTTTCCAGTTAAGCACAGGCTGAAAACATAACCTAACCACATTAATACTACAATTTTATTGTTTTAGATAACACATTTTGCCGCCTTTGTGCGTTTGAACTAATGGGATAGTTTAGGAAGTGGTTTTGAGACGCATACAAGACGCAAAAATGTAATTGCACCTGGTGGTGTCTATATAGCATACATGATAGGCTATATATCCAAACATAAATAGCAATGTAGCTTTTTTGGTACATGGAATGCACATTCCCATACAAATCGAATCCATATCCGTCAAAAAGCACGTATCCAACTTGTACATCTTTTGAATGTGGGATTTTACTCACAGTTGGGTTTTCTGGCCATTGAGAACGTAAGGCAGCCTGTTTGTCCTCATTTCACAGAGCAGTTTTACAATTAGGTAACATTTAGAGGATTAGGGAAGGTTTGACTAAACAGCAATCTGCTACAGTCTATGGAAGCAGAAGGATGAGCGTCTGATGAAAGTTCCACATGTTTGTGTGTGTGGCGGGCTTTGCAGAAATGTTCCTTTGTTCCCGTAAAACCAAAACGTATGGACACATAGAAACATAGTTTTTGTAGTTAATACCGCGAACTGAGTATTTGTTGACGTACACAATACCACCAATTTACAAAACAATAAAAAATCTGTTATTTTATTGCTTGAAATAGCCTATGCAAAGTGTTCATATTATAATACTCCTTAGCCTATATTGTGAATAAAATGAAGTAATTCAGCTAGAGTCCCTCGTAAACATTTTAAAACCCCGCTTGGTCAATTTTATATTTTGCGAACAAATGGCAGATTTAATTGAGATGACATAATTAAACATGGTGACATCAGTAGTTGAGTTTAATGACTTT